TAATAGACAAATAACAGTAGTAATAACGTAAATAACTACTAACAAACCTACGTAATTAAAGTAAGTAAATAATATAACAGAAGTAATATATATATATATATATATATATATATATATATGTATATACTTCAATATTACTCACCTCCGCGACTGAAGAAGTTATCAGGCATAAAAGCGTACAGATATGCAAGATGCTGTGTTGCTTGCTGAACTTCCAACTTTCGGAGCTCCATCTCAATAGTCTAGGTAGAAAACAGCAGAATAAATTTTATAAGGAAACCAAAAATTTTTCTAACACAGATATTTGGAGTGACGAAAGCCTTAGAGCAAACACTGACTTACTGTCCAAATCCAGACCACTGCCCTCTATAGAAAATTCGCTATAAGAATAAAATCAATTAAAAACTTTAAGCAGCTTTTCGGATGAAACTGTTGGATGCATAAATAAATAAAAAATAAAAAACCCTCAATCCTCATATTATATAAAATGAAATCAAAGGATGCAACCAACTAGATAATCAAATTAATCCTAAATATTTAAAGAAGGACCTATAAGAGACAGATTATTGTGGATAACAGGGAAATAAATCTACTGAAAAATCAAGAATTAACTTATAAAACTTCAGAGGGCAGCAAAATCCTTTTTTTTTGGGTGACTTTTGGCATTTAAAACTACAACAGTAATGAAGTGTGTCATAAAGAGCAAACATGGTAACACAACTCGAGAGAATACGCTTTGTAACAAAACCTGAAAAACTGGATAAAATGAATGAAATCTGTTATTTTTGTAAAATTATAATATTAGTGAAATACTATAATTGAGTGTGTGGATGGGGTGGGGGTAGGATATTCTAAACTTAACTTTAGGTATTGTAATAAACCACAGTTATTGAAAATATCTTATTAATAAAATGTACTTACCCTCGCAAATGCTTTAGTTTCAGCAAATTTAACTTTGAAGTCAAAATTTTCAGCGGGTGTTGCCATGGCAACCCGATCAGATTCTTTCTGTAACTGAGTCCTGAGGTCTTGATTGGCTTCACGCAACTGCTCAGTCAGATCACGGAATTTCTGAATAGTCTGTTCATAATCAGCTACAGTATAATGCATGGCCTCCAACTTTCGATTAGCCTTGAGTGCAAATTAAAAAAAGTTATGCGAGATATAGTCATTCAATATTTTACCGAGATAAATATCTACTTGTTTGTTTGTTTGTTTTGTTTTTAATTAAGCTTGTGTAGCTTTGTGCCCCCCAGTGGCACAGCGGTATGTCTGCGGACTTACAACGCCAGAAACCGGGTTTCGATACCCGTGGTGGGCAGAGCACAGATAGCCTTAATTTCTTCTGTTAATATTTAATCATCTTTAACTTTATTTCTGTTTGTGCTCATAAGTAGATTTTTGTGTTTGAATTGTAGAGACAAAGTTAAATCTTGAATTACGAGTAGTACCTCTATAACTTTAGCATTAGCTAAGTCCACTTCTTCACGGAGTTCCAGCTCCGTTTCTCTAGCACTCTCCTGCAACTGGTCATTGATATCCTGCAGTTTCTCCTGATAATAAGAAACAAAACAAAGCCAAGTTAATCCATTACTGGGGTGAACATGATGTTTAGAGGTATTCTTAAACAGTCCACTTTTAATTAATCTAATATGGATTTCTAACATAAAATATGTATAACCGAGTTTCAGCTAATTATCGTCTGTGGTAATACACCAAAGTTTTTTACTTTATACCAAAGCTCATCATTATAATATCCAAAGTTTCACACCATAAGCTACTCGTGTAGGTCATCTAAATGACACTGACTGACGTGATGCATAGCTAATGTAGCACCTTTGATGAAACACCACAGATTGAGAAGCAATATTTTGATACACATCTTAAGTGGTACAAGCACAGCATTCCAGTAAAAAAAGCAGAAAATGGTAACTTATTATTTGTTTTTTATAACAAAGCTACACAGGGGACAATCTGTGTTCTATCCACCAAAGGGAACTGAACCCTGGATTTTAGTGTTGCAAGTCTTTAAACTAACTATTAAAGCACAAGGGGACATTAATTGAAAACATAACTAAAAATCCTGCTCATAATTGATTTTTTCAATTAGCTGATACTCATAAATGAACTTGCAAAACAATCTTTTAGGTTTAATAATATTTAATGCATGAATATGTAATTAATAGGTAAAAACACTTAAACAGTTTTTACAATCTTATCAGTATTTTCCTGCTAGAAATCTAGATCCAATAAATGCTCATTTGAATTCGATGACGAGGAACCCACTTTGAGACTAATAATGGCTGGAGATGGCTTGAATAAGTAATGAAGAAAAACTTTAATATAAGTTTAACATAACAGCAAATGTACAACGTTTCGATAAGGTTTTGTCATTACCAGGTAGAAAATTTGTTTAAAGCTACTAATATCTCATGACACTAACATTCTATTAAAATATGTGTCTTAATGCTTCTTGTTGCTAACTAGCAAGGTCCATAATCAGAAACGAAAATGATGATAACATTTTGTTGAAAAGTAACGGGTAACATGTTGCTTTTGTCCTCTCTTTAGTAATTAGCAAACAAGTCAGTAGTTAGAAGACGAGACGTGTGTGTTCCAGTTCAAGACTTGTACTCAACTTATTAGTGATCTTTGGAAAATCTGCGATTTTATTGACTTAGCTATGATTGGTGCTTTTTCATGTAGGGTTAAACACAAATGTGCTCTAATTTTTTCATGCACATGCAAGAAAAGAATGTGAAGTCTCATGTCACCAACTTAAACGTGAAATACGTCAAAATTATACATCTGTTAACTTCCTTCTAAGCCATTCTTACTTCCATCAGAAAATACTAATTCATTTTTATATTATGTTAAACTATTTCAATTTTACTAGGAAATTAACCTATTCTTTCTCGCCCATTCTTGCAGCCAAATAAAAATAATAAAAATTTACTTCACTAATTCCAATTTACTTACTTTTCAAATAAAAATTCAACTTTTCTAACAGACGTACTATACAAGTGTTTAGTCAAAGCACCTGCTTAAACTTTTGTCTGCCAAAAAACTGGGTTTTTCGTGACATTTACTTGCATAGGAAAGTACTTATCCCTTACTCTCATTGGTTGCAGTTAATTTTAATTGTTCCATAATGTACAGAGTTTTGTCTTACCAGGTCGTATCCCTTACTCTCATTGGTTGCAGTTAATTTTAATTGTTCCATAATGTACAGAGTTTTGTCTTACCAGGTCTTATCCCTTACTCTCATTGGTTGCAGTTAATTTTAATTGTTCCATAATGTACAGAGTTTTGTCTTACCAGGTCGTCAACAGTCTCTTGCAGTTCTCGGATTTTTTCTTCAAGCTCCAGATTTTTCTCTGTCAACTGCTCAACCATCTCTTCTGCACCCAGAGCAGCATCAACCTACAACAACAATATACTGTAACCCAAAAACCAACAACTACATTTGTGGTACAAAAAAATAAGTTGAAAAACAATATATTGTAGCACAAAAAACTACAGTTGTGGAAGAATAGCAAAACAGAAGTGGTTAAAAATATAATACAATGCAACAAAACTGTAGCTGAACAACAGGAAAACAAAATTGATAAAAATAATACACTGTAGCACAGTAAACTATAATTACGGTACAGTGGAGAGAGCAATGTAGGTTTACATGTATTACACTTTAATGTAAAAAACTCCGCAATTGTGTAACAATGGTGACACAAATTAAATAAACAGGCTTCACTATAAATACACAAGTTGTTTGTATGGTGAGACACAAGCTTTTTTTGAATTGAATAATACTACTTAAGTAAATATACAATTGATATTTTTTAAGTGATTTTAAAAACTATTATTTTTCAACTCAAAATTACACTGGACATTTTATTAAGGTAACTGCTTCATCAGAAAACTTTGTGTATTCCCCATTTAAGATGTCATCTGGAAGTATAAGGGTTTTAACAGTATACTATAACAGGTTTACATTGTCCTTGACCACTGGTCAGTCTCAGGCTATTATGTGATTTTTAATATGCTATGTTACTCTAGTTAACTTTCTGTGTAAAAGAAGGGTGAAAATGTACGTTGCAACCCTTTTACAAATTTCCATTCAAAATTTGATCAAACAACTATATTTCAATAAGCTTGGTATTAAAACAGTTTATAATTAAAAGTTTTACAAGTAAAGAAAAACTTAAAAATAAAGGAAGTAAATGTAAGGATGGTTAATATCAAAAACTGCAAAAACTTTTAATTAAAACTCCGTCCTTTATTTCAAACTAAAATCTGCTAATAACAACGTGATCAAAAACACCACATCTTATTAGATAAATAATTTCAGTTTCTACCTGTTCTTTCAACTCTCTCATCTGCTTCTCATAACTTTCAACTACGTTACTCAGCTTCTCTTTTGTGCGAGTTAGTTCTGTGATTTCAGAATTCAGGTGATCTACTTCTTTCTGTACTCTTTGTTGTTCCTGTTTATCATGAGCTGATAAATCTCTTAATCTGTAAATAAGCAAAAAACTTCGTTAGAACTCTCAAAAACACAGAACTACTTAGAGTTATCCTACTGGTAGTTTATTCCTAATCAAATGCTAACTTATTACAAAACCTAATTTAACGAAGATAAATGTTCTTCCATTTTCAGACAGATACTTCATTTTCTTGTTCACATTTGTTTAATAAGATTGTAAGACACGTCTTGTTCACATAAGTTACTAAGCCATACATAATTTTTAGCTTCTTAGTAACTTTAAAATAAAATAAACCACATAACAGAACTGGTGAGCATAATAAAGTTGAAAAAACTTTAAATACAAAACTGGATTGAATAAAACATTCAAAATATCAAGAAAAAGGGAATTTGGTTTTAAAGCTCTCTTTAAGTAAACATAAAATTCAGAAAAAGGTATGTAATTTAGACTACTAAGAAGAAGAAGGATGTTTGATTTTTAAAACTCTTTAAACAAACAAACACATACATACATACTTGAGTAAAGGAGCATATTACATATGATAGTTTGGAACAGGGGGCATGTTAATGGGGAGCTAACAACACCTCCAACCCCCAATACTGCTTTTATTGAGCATTTATCACCTTGAGCGTAAGTTAACTACATTCTTAGATGACACCACATTCTTATTAAAAGAATATATTCAATTTTCTGTAACACAACATTCAAAAAGTGTGGGGGAGGGCACACAAATGTCTTATATATCTCACAGTGTGTGCTAGCACTCTCTATGAAGGAATGAAATAAAAAAATGGTCACTACTATTGCAACAATACATAAACTCAGCTGAAATTTCTAATCTAATAGCCACCATAAGGTCAATTAATTAATCACGTGAAACACTGTGGAAAGATATTAAAAGCTGGTAACAGAAAGTCCCCTACTGCCACTACTTTGGTTGCTACCTCTTAATACAAAGTCACCCTGATCATCACATAGTGTATACCATGTTTTACGTTTATACATAATGAGCTCTTAAACCTTATACAAAACTTTAAGTGAGTTAATAATGAATACTGTAATAATATGTTATGTTATATATAAATTGTGTGAAAGTTAGGATTTTTGTTTTATTTATCAAACCCTCAACCATCACATTCTCTTAAGTTCATAA